ACCCCCTTAGAGTTGTGAGCCCTTAAAAGGGACAGGAATTGCTCATTCGAGGAGCTCGGCTCTTGAGACAGAAGTCTTGCCGATGCCCTGGGCCAAATAAACCCCTTCCTTCTTTAACTTGGTGTCTGAGGAGTTTTGTCTGTGGCTGGTCCTGCTACATAATGAGCTCATCTGTCCTTAATTACCTCCTAAAGATCCTTTCTCCAAACACAGTAACACTGAGGGGTAGGGTTTCAACATGAATTTTGAGGGGACACAAACATTTGGTCCATGGCTTGTTGAATTTTATCTGAGTGTTTTTTTTTCTGTACTTCTTGTGATGATTATGTGAATTCACTCCTTTAATTTGTTGATATCATGGATTACATCATAGAACGTGCAATGGCAAACCATCTTTGCATTCATGATATAGTCATTATATATACATTTAAAAATATATTGTCAGAATTCATGTGCAAATATTTCACGTAGGATTTTTGTACCTACATTTGTAAGTAAGAGGGACATTCAATTTTTCATTTTCAATTTGTCTTTGTTCACTTTTTGTATCCAAGATATTATTTGCTCCAAGTAGACATTTACTTCTGTTTTTTTTTTGATTGGTGAATATTTTTGGTCAGGTCCCTCACCCCAACTTTCAGTTATAAAAAATTTTCAAATCCAGAAAAATGGAATAAATAGTACAGCAAACATTTATATATGGATCAAGTGGATTCAATAATTCTTGGCAATTTGCCATATTGCTTTACACATCTCTGTGTGTGTCGTGTACATGTGTATTTTATGAGCCATTTGGGGATAAATTGCAGAGGTTATGACACTTCGTTGTTCAGTTCTTAGTATATATCATCGAACTAGGAACATTCTGTATAACTGCTGTTCTCATACCTTAAAAAAGTAATGGTAATTCATAATATCAACCCCCATCTATATTCACTCCTGTTGTCCCCCAAATGTCTCTTATAGCTATTCTTAATTGTGAACCAGGATCTAGTTAAGGTTCACATGGTGCAATGCAATTAGGTTTATTTCTCTTTTGTTTTTTTTAATACGGAGTTGTCTCACCACCTTTTTTCCTGTTACTTTGAAATTTTTTTTTAGCTTTTTTTTTTTTTTTTTGAGACAGGGTCTTGCTCTGTTGCCCAGGCTGGAGTGTGGTGGGCAGTCAAATCAGTTATAGCTCACTGTAGCCTCGACCTCTCAGGCTCAAAGGATCTTCCCGCCTCAGCCTATCAAGGAGCTGGGACCACAGGTGTGCACCATCACGCCAGGCCCTTTTTTTTTTTTTTTTTTTGTAAAGACAGGGTCTCACTATGATTTCCAGGCTTTTCTCCAACTTCTGAGCTCAAACAGTCCTCCCACCTTGGCTTTTCAAAGTGCTAGGATTACAGGTGTGAGGCATCACACCTGGCCAAATTTCAAAGGCAGACATATAAAATAGTTGGGAAACATTTCCTCTCTTTTCTCTTTTACCAATTTGTTCATTTTTTTTTTTTTCAAATTTATTAACATAAAGTTGTTTGTATTAATTTTTTATGATTTCTAAAGATAGAATTTGTCATGCTCGACTGTGTGAAGAGACCACCAAACAGGCTTTGTGTGAGCAATAAAGCTTTTTAATCACCTGGGTGCAGGCCGGCTGAGTCCGAAAAGAGAGTCAGCGAAAGGAGATAAGGGTGGGGCCGTTTTATAGGATTTGGGTAGGTAAAGGAAAATTACAGTCAAAGGGGGTTGTTCTCTGGCGGGCAGGAGTGGGGGTCACAAGATGCTCAGTGGGGGAACTTTTTGAGCTAGGATGAGCCAGGAAAAGGAATTTCACAAGATAATATCATCGCTTAAGGCAAGGACCGGCCATTTTTACTTCTTTTGTGGTGGAATGTCATCAGTTAAGGTGGGGCAGGGCATTTGCACTTCTTTTGTGATTCTTAAGTTACTTCAGGCCATCTGGGCATATACGTGCAAGTCACAGGGGATGCGATGGCTTGGCTTGGGCTCAGAGGCCTGACAAAATCTTTATGTGACCTTTTCATTCCAGATACTGTTTTATTGTTGTGTGTGTGTGTGTTCATCATTCTTTCCCTTTTATTGATCAGTTTTGTTGGAGATGTGCCTATTTTATAACTTTTTAAGGAATCGTATTTTAATCTCTTTGGTTTTCCTTCTATTATTTCTTTCTTTTTCTTTTCTTTTTTATTTTTGAGACGGAGTCTTGCTCTGTCGCCCAGGCTGGAGTGCAGTGGCGCCATCTTGGTTCACTACAAGCTCCGCCTCCCAGGTTCAAGCGATTCTCCTATCTTGGCCTCCCGAGTAGCTGGGATTACAGATGCATGCCACCATGCCCAGCTGATTTTTGTATTTTTAGTAGAGATGGGGTTTTACCATGTTGGCCAGGCTGGTCTCGAACTCCTGACCTCCTGATCTGCCCGCCTCAGCCTCCCAAAGTGCTGAGATCACAGTTGTGAGTCACTGCACCCAGCCTATTTCTTTATTTTCATCTCTTTATTTCCTCTTTGTAGGGTTTGCTGTATTCTGAATGTTTGTGTCTCCCCAGAATTCCTATGTTGAAATCCTAACCCTCAAGGTAATTGTATCACCCCCTGGGAGGTCAGGTCTTTGGAAAGTGATTAGGTCTGAGGGCAGAGCTCTTGCTATAGGGATTAGTGTCCTTATAAAGGAGACCCCAGGGAGCCAGCTAGTCCCTTCTACCCCGTGAGGATATAAGGAGAGGGCGCCATCTATGAACCAGAAAGTGGACCCTACTCAACATTGCATCTGCCAGTGCCTTGAACTGGGACTTCCCAGCCTCCAGGACTGTCAGAAATAAACCTCTGCATTTATGAGCTACCCAGTTTACTGTATTTGTTATAACAGCCTGAATGAACTAAGAAAGGCTTAATTCTATTTTTTTCCTCTAACTTCTTGATATTTGGCTTACTTTCATTCCTTCCTCTTGTTCAAGTATATGCAGTCTAGGCTGTAAAGATGCCTCTACTGCCGTATTGATTGCATCAAGTTTTGCTATATAGTGTTTTCATGGTAACAATCCAGTTCTAAATCTTTTGGGTTTCATTATAATTTCTTCATTGCATTTGTATAACATTTGTTATATAAAATCTTTGCTGAATCTTTGATTGTGGTTTAATATGCAGGCATTTCACCTCTGCTTGTAAAGACTCTGTGTTCTCCAGTTGTTAATGAAGGGAATTACATATGTCTTTGGGTTTAGTGCTCCTAGTTCCTCTTTTTTGATGGAACCTGAATTTTCTTTTTTTCTTCTTTTTTCTGAGACAGAATCTCGCTCTTGTTGCCCAGGCTGGAGTGTACAAAATGGCGTGATCTCGGCTCACTGCAACCTCCACCATCCAAGTTCAAGCGATTCTCTTGCCTTAGCCTCCCAAGTAGCTGGGACTACAGGCGCCTGCCACCACACTCGGCTAATTTTTGTATTTTCAGTAGAGACGGGGTTTCACCATATTGTCCAGGCTGGTCTTGAACTCCTGACCTTGTGATCCGCCTGCCTCAGTCTCCCAAAGTGCTGGGATTACAGGTGTGAGCCACCATGCCTGGTCCAGAACCTTAATTTTTAAAAAGTCTAATTTGAACCAGGCACGGTGGGTCACACCTGTAATCCTCGCACTTTGGGAGTGTGAGGCGGGATGTTTGCTTGAGCCCAGGAGTTTGAGACCAACCTGGGCAATATAGTGAGACCTCGTCTACATAACATTTTTATTTTTAAAAAAGAAGCTGATTGTGGTGGCGTGTGCCATAGTCCCAGCTACTTGGGAGGCTAAGGTGGGAGGATTGCTTGAGCCCAGGGAGGAGGTGGAGGCTGCAGTGAGCTGTGTTTGTGACCCTGCACTCCAGCCTGAGTGACAGAGCGAGATCCTGTCTCAAAAAACAAAACCAAACGAAACAAATCCAAGTTGAGAATCTATCTCAGCTAGTGAGTTTAATCTGTTTCCATTTACTTAAATGTAGGCAGGCCTGCTGGCAGCGAGTTATCTCAGTCGTTTACAAATCATATTCCTTGTTCTGCTCTTTTCCCACTTTCGCCGCATCACTTCATGCTTTTTAACGAACAGGTTTTTAATTTCCTAATTGCTTCCTGTTTTCTATTTTGATTCACCAAGTGTTTCCAGGTGAATTTCAAACCCCATTCCCACCGGAAATTCCTCCCAGGTATTATGTCTACTGAATCTTGTTTATTTGGATCGCCTCCTTGTGTATCGTTTTTGCTGATGAGCTGCTCTTCAGTGGGTGGTATTTTTGGCCTGGATTGTGGAAGTCTTGTGGTAAAGTGGATTTGCATTTGCCTCTGCCTGGTGTTCCAGGCGTTTCACTGGCCCCGGGTCAATTGTATTAATGTCTCAGCGAGGTATTCCTACTTTGCAAGCATGGTATACATTTGAGGATTGCTTTCTTTTTTCCCTTCCACTCAGAATCTAGACTGAGATGGGCTTCTTTGCACACGCCTGAGCCTGGCGGATGGAGCTGTCCTCGTTTTGCTTTGGCCCCTTTACCTGAGACATGAACCTTTGGGGGTTCCACATGGCAGGCGTGGGTCTCTTACAAATTCCCATCTCATGTGCTTCCAAGGCTCATTCCACACGTCAACACAAAATCCTAAGCACCCGACTGTTAGGGTGTGCTCCTGGGTTGGGTCCTGTCCCCCAACATCACTGCACCCCGTCAGCATCTGTGGGTGTCATCCTCACTCTGGCGTTCTGTTTCGTCTCCAGTCCTGGCCCCTGAAGAGTCACTTTTCCCTAGGAGTTCTTTCATCTCTATTTTTTTTTAAAATTATTCAGTCTGGCATTTCTAGTGTTTATAGCCTTACTCTGCTGTGTGGCCAGAACCAGAGGTTACCATTGATTTCTTACATAATACCATAGATGTCGTTAAAATGCATTTTTTTCTATAATCTTGATTTGAGCTTTACTTACCATTTATAGCCTTTAAATTTGCAGCATTCAGAATATAATTCTTGTTTCTCTCTCCATAGCCCGACTTCAATCTCTGCGATGGCTAACGAAGCTTATCCTTGTCCGTGTGACATTGGCCACAGACTTGAGTATGGAGGGCTAGGCCGCGAGGTTCAAATCGAGCACATCAAGGCTTATGTCACCAAATCCCCCGTTGATGCAGGCAAAGCTGTGATTGTCATTCAAGACATATTTGGCTGGCAGTTGCCCAATACCAGATATATGGCTGACATGATCTCAGGAAATGGATACACGTATGTATAAAGTTGCGTTTCTTTGTTTACATTCATATAAATTTCGGTGGTTTATTTTGTTCCCTTTAAAAAATAAAACCACAGCAGTCTGACTCTACAGTACCTAACGTACGCCAGAAACTTCTTTATCTGACTGCGGTGAAGATAGATGGGAAATGTCATGGGAAATTAAACACCCGCCTGTGTCCTCCTGGGAGTGCCTGGCCTCTAGACTTGGTGGACACTGAGAATTCTTTTCCCCCGTGGGGCCTCAGCCAGACGTACGCACTGGACATCATGGGCCGAGCTCACCAGCTCCCAAATGGACCTGTGACTTGGCTCTTCAAGCAGCTCAGCCTCGTGTCAGATTTCACAGGCCTCTTTGGATGGCAGGGTGTCCAAGGCTCCTCCTGGTCCATACACGTACGGTCGTGGCCCCGTCTGAATTAGACTGGGGTTCAGAAGTGGCACAGTGAGACCTTGCTCCCCTCCCCAAGTTTACCTCTTTGTCTGGCCAAGTGGCCGTGGTCACCTTTGACCAAGGCTGATTCTTATTTGCCCCTGGTGAAAAGCGCAGAGAGCCAGAACCTTCCTTCCTCTCCAGCGTCGGGAAGCATCAACCCAGCAAGCCCTGAGCTTGGTGCACGGCTAGATTTCCTTTGTTTTCACAGAAAGAGAAGCTTTCTGTGAAAGGAAACCCAAGGGTGAGCCTACCTCGTTTTTCTAGGAAGAGAAACTGGCTTAAAGGAATCATGTCCACGCTGGCGGGATGCCGAGTCAGTGCTGAATGAAAAGACCTTCCTTGAAGTTTTCCTTTTTCACATCCCCAGATGAGGGGACTTAACTTTCTAGGGGCAAACCCAGTAAAAAAAAAATAAAGAAATAAAATAGCTAGCTTCGGTTGCTCAGCTACAGCCAGGGCTGAGAGCATGACTGGGCTTATTGCCCTTAATCCTCCTGGCAGCCCCTTGAGGGAGGAGCTGTTACTGCTCTCATTTTGCAGATTAGGAAACCAGGACATAAAGAGCGCTCTGCGGCTGCCCCAGATCACTGGCCCAAGCAGCCCATCAAATGGCATTGCTGTGTCTGTTGTTTCACGGCGGGTCCTTGAACAAGGTTCAGGACATAAAAGATAAGGAAAGACCCCTATTTTACAAAGCACTTTCTCATGTACACCATTTTTTTTTTTTGCCCTCGAGAGAATCCTCTGAGGTTGTGCAGTGCAAGCGTGCTGTTTATTTGTCAGATGAGAAAATGAGGCTAGAAGTGGTGACATGGCTTGTTAAGGCCACACAGCAGCGTGGGGTGTACTGAGCCTTGAACTTGGATTTTCTCACTCCAGTTTCAGTGTTCTTCTTACCCCTACAGAGGGAGCCCTGTTCCTCCAACCAGGTGGCAGTTCTATTTGGGGAAACAGTTGGGAAACAAGACTCGACTGGAACAGTTGGCTTCATCCCTCTGGGTTGATTTGCATGGAAGAGCGACCTGGACTGGGGCCACGCTTCTTTGCTCCCTGCTGCCCGTCTTAGAACATACCCTCTGGATAGGAAACGGTGCTTCGCTGGCGTCTTGGGTGGAGGCTGAGAAAATTGCCTGGTCATAGTGACTGGACATGTTAGCCACATGTGCCCTCTGGCCTGAGGCTCATGTGAAAGGCCAGGAGTCCCCAGGTTGGCTGAGAGGGGCTGGAGGGGCCCTCAAAACCACCAGCCTCAGGCCCACTCCCCCAGGGGCCCCCACATCCCATGCCAGCCTATCCCATGGGAGTGTGCCCTGTGGATAGCCTCATCATTTGCAGGCCTGGGTTACCAGCAGGCTGCCAGACGCTGTGCACCTGCGGTTGTGAAACCTAAGATGGCTTGGCCCGGTGCCAGGTGGCTGCTTTGCCGCACTCAAAGTTGGCCTTCACACTCACTCCTTTTCCTTTTCTCCGAGCCAGAATCACCAATGTAGCAAGTTTTTAAATAAATGCAAGCAAAATACTGAGTCAAGCAACTCTGAAACTAAGATCAATTCATGTCCATATTTTGCAGAACCATTGTTCCAGACTTCTTTGTAGGGCAAGAGCCTTGGGACCCCTCTAGCGACTGGTCCACCTTCCCTGAGTGGGTGAAAACAAGAAATGCCCAGCAGATCGATAGGTGAGTTATCCACAGACGTGGCCATGTACGCGGTACGGCCCAGGGAGGTGAGAGCTGGGGGGGCTTCACCTTTCAGACAGTACTCCTTACCTCAGGGTGGGACTTCTCCACGGCCAGTGGAATCCTTCCCATGGCACAAAGGAGAAAAATTTTTTTTTTTGTTTTTTGAGACGGAGTCTTGCTCTGTTGCCCAGGCTGGAGAGCAGTGGCACAATCTCAGCTCACTGCAACCTCTCTCTCCCAGGTTCAGGCATTCTCCTGCCTCAGCCTCCCAAGTAGCTGGGATTACAGGCTCCCGCCACCATGCTCGGCTAATTTTTGTATTTTTAGTAGAGATGGGGTTTCACCATGTTGGCCGGGCTGGGATATTTTTTTAATTAAAATTTTTAGGCTGGGCATGGTGGCTCAAACCCATAATCCCAGCATTTTGGCAGGCTGAGGCTGGCTGATCACTTGAGATCAGGAGTTTGAGACCAGCCTGGCCAACATGGTGAAACCCTGTCTCTACTAAAAATACAAAAAAGAAACAAATAAACAAAAAACTTTGCTGGGCATCATGACGCACGCCTGTAATCTCAGCTACTCGGGAGGCTGAAACATGAGAATCACTTGAACCTGGGAGACGGAGGTTGCAGTGAGCCGAGATCGCGCCACTGCACTCCAGCCTAGGGGACAGAGCAAGATCCCGTCAAAAAAAAAAAAAAAATTAATTAATTAAAAATTTTAAAATAAAATAGAGATGGGGTCTCACTATGGGCATGCACCACCGCATCCAGCCAGGATAGCATTCTTTATGTGATGATGATCAATACCAAACAATATTTTTATGAGCACCATCTATGAAAAGAGAGATTTTAGTGTATCTGTCACTTGAGTAGTGTACATTTTACCTAATATATAGTTTTTTAGCCCTCCCCCTTCTGAGTCTCCATAGTCCATTATATCACTCTGTGTGCCTTTGCGAACTACCCACAGCTTAGCTCCTACTTATAAGTGAGAACGTACAGTATTTGATTTTCCATTCCTGAGTTACTGCCCTTAGAAAAATGGCCTCCAGCTCCATCCAAGTTGCTGCAAAAGATATTATTTTGTTCTTTCTTATGGCTGAGTAATAGTCCATGGTGTATATATGCCACATTTTCTTTATCTACTCATTGGTCAATGGGCGCTTAGGTTGCATATCTTTGCAATTATGCTGCAATAAACATACATGTGCAGCCCACCTCCACTTTGGTACACTGTTTCTAGTTGAAAATGTGTTCTAAGTTCCAATCAGTTTGCAGATGAATCATTTGCCAGGCAAGGGTCACTCTTCTTGGTCCCCTCATGGCTGAAATAGTCCTGATGGCTTTCCAAATTTGGCCATGCAGAGTGGGGAGTTTTGGGGAGAGAGTGAATGTGTGAAGTCAGAGAGTGTCTGGGCGTCCGCCCATAGTTATGGCTGGTCATGGGAGAGAGGGGAGAGGAGACTCTTCTCCTGGGAGACTCAGGGGACAGAGAAGACTGGGGCACTCCGCAGGGAGCAGGTCGTGGACTCGGGTCTTACGAACCATGCTGTGGGCTGTGGCCTTCATCCCGAGGCTGTGGAAGACTGCTCAGCCCTCAGCTGGGAGTGAGCTGGTTGGATCTGTATTTTGGGAAGAGCCCAGCTTGCCTGCAGCTGTCAGGCAGTTGGAGGAGGGCTGGGCTTGGCAGGAAGACGTGCTGGGATGATGCATCAGTCGGGGCAGAGGTATAGAGCTCCCAAAAGAAGAATCCTTGGCAACTTCAAGAACAGTTGCTGATACAGTCCCGTTATCATCAGCACAGCCCTTTGAGGGGTTTACAAAATAACCCTGATTCCTGAATATTTTTTCTTTCTGTTCTAGAGAGATCAGTGCTGTCTTGAAGTATCTGAAACAACAGTGTCATGCCCAGAAAATTGGCGTCGTGGGATTCTGCTGGGGTGGAACTGCTGTCCATCATTTGATGGTGAAATACTCAGAATTCAGAGCAGGGGTGTCTGTCTATGGTAAATCTGCCTTGTGTGTTTTTACTGCATGCGAAAGGGAGGGGTGGAAGAGTGACAGCAATCAGAAGCCTCCCCATCCAGTGTAACACAACCTCCAATAATGCCCAGCTTATGGAAATGGGCTTTAAGAATCTGCAAATAGAGGTGGGGATTTGTCATGCAGTTAACCAGAGGATGTCACTGGGAGTCAAGAGGCCTTGGTCCCAATGGTGTGACTTTGGAAAAGCCACCTAACCTGAGCTCTCCATTTCTTCACCTAGAATGAAGGGGATAGCATTTTTTTTTTTTTTTAACGTAATCATGATCAGTATCACACAAGATTTTTATGAGCAACATCTATGAAAATATTTTTCTGGTGGTGGCTAATGCCTGTAATCCCAACAGTTTGGGAGCCTTAGGCGGGCAGATCACTTGAGCTCGGGAGTTCAAGACCAGCCTGGTCAACATGGCAAAACCCTGTCTTTACAAAAAATACAAAAATTAGCTGGGCGTGGTCACGTACACCTGTAGTCCTAGCTACTCAGGAGGCTGAGGTGGGAAAATTGCTTGAGGCCAAGAAGGTTAAGGCTGCAGTGAGCCATGATCACGCCACTGCCCTCCAGCCTGGGCGACAGAGCAAGACCCTGTCTCAAAAAAAAAAAAAAAAAGAGAGAGAGAAAGAAAGAAAGATTGATTTTTCCAAGATACAAATTGCTCTAACTGTACACAAACATGCACACACACTAAAGACAGAAAGAAAGCAAAAGCAGCCAGGCACGGTGGCTCACGCCTGTAATCCTAGCACTTTGGGAGTCCAAGATGGGCAGATGGCTTGAGCCCAGGAGTTTGAGACAAGCCTGGGCAACATAGAGAGACTTTGTCTCTATAAAAAAATTTTAAGGCCTGGTGTGGTGGCTCACACCTGTAATCCCAGCACTTTGGGAGGCCAAGGTGGGTGGATCACAAGGTCAAGAGTTCGAGACCAGCCTGGCCAATATGGTGAAACCCCGTCTCTACTAAAAATACAAAAATTAGCTGGGCATGGTGGCGGGCGCCTGTTGTCCCAGATATTCGGGAGGCTGAGGCAGGAGAATCGCTTGAACCCGAGAGGTGGAGGTTGCAGTGAACCAAGACTGTGCCACTGCACTCCAACCTGGGCAACAGAGTGAGACTCTGTCAAAAAAAAAAAAAAAATAAAAATACTTGCGTGTACTGGCACGTGTCTGTGCTCCCAGCCTCTCAGGAGGCTGAAGCAGGAGGATCACTTGAGCCCAGAGGTTTGAGGCTGCAGTGAGCTATGAATGCACCACTGTACTCCAACCTGGGTGACAGGGAGTGAGACCTTGTCTCTTAAAAAAAAAAAAAAAAAGTAAAGCAAAAGAAAACACACTCTAATATGTAAATAGCAATTTATACATTTTTTGCCAAAACAAACCAAAGTTATTACAGCAATGAAATAACATTATATCTGTATATAGAAGCTGCTTGCTAAACTCATGATATAGAAGCATTCAGACCAATAGATAAACAGAAACAAAAAAGACACATAGGAAATATAGCCTTTAAAAATAATGCAGATGCTCTTCTACTTACAATGGGGCTAAGTCCTGATAAACCCATCGTAAATTGAAAATATCCCAAGTCGAAAATGCATTAATCCACCTCACCTACCAAACATCATAGCCTCACCTGGCCTGCCCGAAACACCTGCATCTGACTACAGTTGGGCAAAGTCATCTAACACAGGGCCTGTTTTATAGTAAAGTCTTGAATATCTCATGCAGTTTATTGAATTCTGTACTGAAAGTGAAAAACAGAACGGTTGTCTGGGTACTTGGAGTACAGTTTCTACTGAATGGGTGTCGCTTGTGCACCATTGTAAAGTCAAAAAATGGCAAGTGGAACCATCGTTAGGTCTGGGACCATCTGAAGTGGATCATAAAGTTATACTAATGATTCTTTCTTGGCTTAATGGTTCCTCACTGTGGTATTTTCAACTACTTTTAGCATTAAAAAACCCTTTAAATATTGACTTAGGACAACACAAAAGGACATAAACTCAAGTCAGTGGCCAGCTGCCTCTGGGAACAAAGGAGCTGAGAGATGCTTTGTCTAGACCATGCTTTTGCGCATTTAGCAAAAGGCGGTCAGGGAGCGGATGCCTCCCCGGCGCCACCTTCTGGCCGCTGTTGTGCAGTGCGTGAGCTGCCGAGCGTGGCCGGGCTCAGGCTCAGGATATCAAAAGAGGCCCATTCGCAGAAGTAGCTTTGCCAGAGTGGGGAAGGGGGCGTGGCCACCTTTCCCGTGGCTCCCTGCCTCCTAAAGAGGAGTTACAGGTGAAGGAGGCTCTGTTTGTTACTTAGCTCTTCTGTGCTGCCAGCAGGAAGTGGAAAAAAAGTTGTGTTATTTACCTCTTATCTTAAAATGGTAACTTGCTGCAAATCTTTTGCGTACTTCTTTTCCCATAGAATTGGACACACCCACAGTTTGTTTTCAGACAGCCTGGCTCAGGCAGAGCATGCTTCTCATTTCAGAATTAATCTCGAATGCTGAGATGAAAGATGAAAACTATTATTGTTATTTTTTGAGACAGCATCTTGCTGTCACCCAGGCCGGAGTGCAGTGGCACGATCTTGGCTCACTGAACCTTCACCTCCTGGGTCCAAGCAATTCTTCTGCCTCAGCCTCCTGAGTAGCTGGGGCTACCACATCCAGCTAATTTTGTATTTTTAGTAGAGACAGGGTTTTGCATTGGTGGCCAGGCTGATCTCGAACTCCTGATCTCAAGTGATGCACCCGCCTTGGCCTCCCAAAGTGCTGGGATTACAGGTGTGGTCCACCTTGCCCAACCAAAACCTGATTTTTATAGACTGACCTGCTAGGCCCAGGCAGTTTCACACTTCCACACTCGTGGTCTGGTGCGAATCTAAATACCCATTCAAATGACAGCTCCTCTTACAAACAAAACTACTCAGTGCATTCAAGCCAGAACCTGTGGGGCTTGTGTAGACCTGAGAAACTTCTTAAGCAAAGGTTTGAAAATGGTCCTGTTTGTAAATGAAGGTAGATCCCAGCGGGAGCATTCCTCAGGCTGCTCCGGCGTCTTTCCATATTAAAGCAGCAGATGCAGACGAGGTCTCGTTCAATTATTTAATGGCCTGATTCCTAGTCCATAAAGTGGGGAGGTAGAGAGTAGGAAGATCTGACTAAATACATTTCTCTTGTACTATTATAATCCTTTTTTTTTTTTTCTCCGAGACGGAGTCTTGCTCTGGTCACCCAGAGCTGGAGTGCAATGGCATGATCTCGGCTCACTGCAACCTCCACCTCCCGGGTTCAAGCAATTCTCCTACCTCAGCCTCCCAAGTAGCTGGGATTGCAGGTGCCTGCCACCACACCCGGCTAGTTTTTGTATTTTTAGTAGAGACAGGGTTTCACCATGTTGGCCAGGCTGGTCTCGGACTCCTGACCTCATGATCCGCCCTCTTTGACCTCCCAGAGTGCTGGGATTAGGGGCTTGAGCCACCACGCCCAGCCTTTGGGTTTTTTTGTATTTGTTTATTTATTTATTTTTTATTTTATTATTTTTTAAGACAGGGTCTCACTTTGTTGCCCAAGCTGGAGTACAGTGGCACAAACATGGCTCACTGCAGCCTCAACTTTCCAGGCTCAAGTGATCCACCCACATTCGTCCCTCTAAGTAGCTGAGACTACTGGCATGCACCACCACACCCGGCTTATTTTTGTATTTTTTGTAGAGACAGGGTTTTGCGATGTCACCCAGGCTGCTCTCAAACTCCTGGGCCCAAGCCATCCACCTGCCTCAGCCTCCCAAAGTGCTGGGATTACAGGCATGAGCCACTGTGTCCAGCCTTCTTTTACGCTAATCTTGTAAGTTGGGCCACTTCTGTAGAATGACTAAAAAAGGAAATAGAGCCCCAAAGCAGAGATTTTACTTTGAAAAATCAAACCCAAATGCTGTAGTTTTCTGTGGCATGAGTGTGGGGGTCATACATCATGCCTCTGTGCTCGTTTTTCAGGCATCGTCAAGGATTCGGAAGGCATTTACAATTTAAAGAACCCCACCTTGTTCATTTTTGCTGAAAATGATGTTGTGATTCCACTCGAGAACGTAAGTTGGCATCTTTTCTCTTCGTATTTATTTGTTTTGAGACAGGATCTTGCTCTGTTGCCCAGGCTGGAGTGCAGTGGCGCGAACTTGACTCATTGCAGCCTTCGCCTTCCAGGTTCAAGCCATTCTTGTGCCTCAGCCTCCCGAGTAGCTGGGACTACAGGCGCCCGCCACCACGCCTGGCTGATTTTTGTATTTTTGGTAGAGAGAGGGTTTCACCATGTTGACCAGGCTGGTCTTGAACTTCTGACTTCAGGTGATCTGCCCGCCTTGGCCTCCCAAAGTGCTGGGATTATAGGCGTGAGCCACCACGCCTGACATCATTTGTATATTTAGTAGCATGATTTGACATTCTGCGGGGAGTGGGAAGTCTTGAAGGATGCATTTGTTGCTCCAAATATTTCCAACATTACCATTTTAAAGATGGGTTTTATTCAATTCCACTTATATAATTCCACCGTGGAAGTGTGATGTTCCCAAAACATGTTTAAGGAAATGTCTGAGGGAGTATTCTCAGCATGGCCTGATTACCTGGTGGAGAAACAGGACCTCTTGCCCTGCTCCATGCTAACCCACAAATTGCTGTAAAGTCTATGACCTTAAAGACAAGGATTTATTAAACACAGTCAGTTGATAAGGAAAAAGCAGAAGAAAAGTATGGTTCAAAAGTAGTCAGTTAGCTGGGCGTGGTGGCTCATGCCTGTAATCCCAGCAACTCAGGAGGCTGAGGTGGGAGGATTGATTGAGGCTGAGAGTTTGAGACTAGGTCAGGCAATCTAGCTAGATCCCTTCTCTACAAAAATATAAGCAAATCAGCTGCGGTGGTGGCACACATCTATAGTCCCAGCTATTTGGGAGCCTGAGGCAGGGAGATTGCTTGAGCACAGGAGTTGAAGGTTGCAGTGAGCCACGATTGTGCCACTGCACTCCAGCCTGGGCGACAGAGTGAGACCCTGACTCTAAGAAAAAAAAGTAGTCATTTAGAAATTATTTTATAATATTAGTAACTAATACATTAATGCAAATGATTTCACATAATAGATGGATCATTTTTACATTGCTCTGAAATCTCTCCTTTGCCAGACATAAGAACTGTGTTAGTTATAAAATTAGCAGTAAAGGCCGGGTGCAGTGGCTCACGCCTGTAATCCCAACACGTTGGGAGGCTGAGGCAGCTAGATCACCTGAGGTCAGGAGTTTGAGACTAGCCTGGTCAACATGGTGAAACCCTGTTTCTACTAAAAATACAAAATTTAGCTGGGCGTGGTGGCATGTGCCTGTCATCCCAGCTTCTCCGGAGGCTGAGGCAGGAGAATCACTTGAACCTGGGAGGTAGAGGTTGCAGTGAGCCGAGATGGTGCCTCTGAACTACAACCTGGGCAACAGAGTGAGACCCTGTCTAAAAAGAAAAAAATTAGTGGGAAAGAATTCAATGTAACTGTGGAACTTGTTTCTGATTTAAAGCATTGATGTTAAATTTCTGTTATGAGCAGTCACTGAAGATTTGGAGAATGGAAAGTGCCACTAAAGGGTTAAAATCATGAAATCTTTTGCACACCAGGTATCTTTGCTGACCCAGAAGTTGAAAGAACACTGCAAAGTTGAATATCAAATTAAAACATTTTCTGGGCAGACTCATGGGTTCGTGCATCGGAAGAGAGAAGATTGCTCACCTGCAGACAAGCCCTACATTGATGAGGCCAGAAGGAATTTAATCGAGTGGCTGAACAAGTACATGTAGAAAGAATCAAGGGCAAGCCTTCCTAGAATAGCTTTTCATCCCAAAATTTGCTTGGAAATACTTAGATCATTTAATTTTCACTTTTATAAAATAAATGTAGGAATCCTAAAATTCATTATTTCATTTGAAACACAAATTCAGTAGGAAATCATGAAATGATTTGATTTTTAACATGTACCTCAAATCATAATTTAAAAACAAGGTCTGGGCCGGGCGCGGTGGCTCAAGCCTGTAATCCCAGCACTTTGGGAGGCCGAGACGGGCGGATCACGAGGTCAGAAGATCGAGACCATCCTGGCTAACACGGTGAAACCCCGTCTCTACTAAAAAATACAAAAAACTAGCCAGGCGAGGTGGCGGGCGCCTGTAGTCCCAGCTACTCGGGAGGCTGAGGCAGAAGAATGGCGTAAACCCAGGAGGCGGAGCTTGCAGTGAGCTGAGATCTGGCCATTGCACTCCAGCGTGAGTGAGCGACAGAGTGAGACTCCGTCTCAAAAAAAAAAAAAAAAAAAAACAAGGTCTGATTGGGTGCAGTGCCTCATGCCTGTAATTCCAGCACTTTGGCAGGCCAAAGTGGGTGGATCACCTGGGATTAGGAGTTTGAGACCAGCCTGGGCAACATAGTGAGACCCCCATCTCTACAAAAAATACAAAAATTAGCTTGGTGTGGTGGTGCACGCCTGTAGTCCCAGCTACTTGGCAGACTGAGGCACAAGAATCAGTAGAACCCAGGAGGTGGAGACTGCAGTGACTCAAGATCATGTCACCACTGTACTCCAGCCTGGGCAACAGAGTGAGACCCTGTCTCAAAAATAAATAAGTAAATAAATAAATAAATAAAATAAAACCCAGGTCAGTACCTGGAGAATTTGAATGATAGAGTAATACCCTAATTATTAGTTAAAACCTACAGGCTGGGTGCAGTGGCTCACGCCTGTAATCCCAGCACTTTGGGAGGCCAAGGCAGGTGGATCACTTGAGGTCAGGAGTTCAAGACCAGCCTGGTCAACATGGTGAAATCCCATCTCTACTAAAAATACAAAAATTAGCCGGGCATGGTGGTGTGTGCCTGTAATCCCAGCTACTCGGGAGGCTGAGGCAGGAGAATCACTTGAACTCGGAGGCAGAGTTTGCAGTGAGTCGAGATTGCGCCACTGCACTCCAGCCTGGGTGACAGAGTGAGACTCTGTCTCAGAAATCTCAAAAAAACAGAAAACAAACCTACAGCTGTTCAAGGACCAGCTGACAGGTCAAGTGTGGCGTTTTCTGGTCTTTGAACACATCATAGAAAGTGACAAATGCTGCAAAGCCATGAAGAACATGAACTATAAACTGGGGTAGACCACCATCCAGCTTAGACACTTATCTATGCCACAAAACATCTGAATTTGACACATTTATATATTGCAATATGGGAAGTATTGAGATCAAAACAGGATTGCATTGACCTAATTATATTAATCTAATAAGCTAATTTTTTGAATTTTTGTATTTGTAGCGTTTTTAAAAAGATAGCAGAAAACGGGGGGCTAGAGTTGTCACCCAGCCGCTGTCTCCTAGGCAGTGGACTTCCAAGCACTGGCATTTTTCCGTCGCAGGGCCTGAGGCTACCTCAGAAATCTCTCCTGTGTTTCTGGTGGTCGCATAAAGGGGAGAGCCGGCGAGAGAGTCTGCACCTGCACCTGCGGCGTGCGTGCGTGTGACTTCGGGCAAGTGACTGGATGTTGTCATCTTTTCCCTAGTTTTGTATTGACGTCCTTCTCAGGAGAGAGTGGCTGTAAAGTCTAGCCCTGCCCTGATGGGGATTCTGGGGATGTGGTCGTGGGTGTTTCCCATGTGCCTTTCATGGGATCTTTCTTTGTCCTGGCAGACGACCTGATACCTAAGTGTCCAACCTGTGGCCAGGTGTCCCTCTCACGGGAAGCTTGTTTATCCTGGCACGTGCCCTTGTGGCTCTCGTCTGACCTGTGTCCAGTTTATTCCTACTGAGACAGCCACTCTCCCGGAGACCCCTGACCAGGAAAGAAGTTAGGATGGGGTAGAGGAGGCAGCTCATAAGAACTATGAAATGACAGAAGCAGTTTATTGCTTAGAGATCCAGAGAACAGAGGGCAGCACGCTTCGCAGGCCCAGCAAAAAGGGGGAGCCATCCAGGACACGTGGGCTCAACCAGAAGGTGGAGAACGAGAGAGAGAGAGGGAGTTGTGAGCCAAAGCTTTTACTGGAGCCCAGGGTGCTATCTAAGCAGGTTTCCCATGGGGGTTCTAATTGGGGGGTTTAGAGCAAGCGGGCATGAGCCCAGGGATTCGTGCTGTGACTGAGAGGAGTCGGTGTGGGTAGGATATCAGCATGGCCCATGTGGGTGTGGGGGGCAGTGGGACAAGTCAAGCAGGTGGTATCCAGCTGTCCATGAGGAGGTGGTCCCAGGAGGTGGTTTTATGAGGCAGATGTCTGGATTCACCACCTCGAGGAACTGGGAGAAGCTGGATAACTAGAAACTGTGTTACTAATCTCTGCTTCTAGTATGAGGAAGTCCAACTTATAATCAAATGGATGCTCAGGAAACATAAAATTAAAAGAATTCCCCAAACTTGACCTTCCTGAGCCTCAGTTTTTGCATCTGTCAAATGGGTATGAGGAGACCTTTTGCCTAATGTTGAGAGACTCCAAGCCTGAACAGGGCTGGTCTGCTGTGAACACTTAGTTGTGTACCCCTACAGGCCAAAGCGATTGCCTGCTGAGGGCTGCTCCCAGGAGGCCTCACACATTCATCTGGCCTCCCAGGAAACCCCTGAGATGTGCTGGGCTTTTGCCCTGGATTGGTATCGGTGAGCATGTAGACAGTAGCCCGAGTCTTCAACACAGATGGGAGGGTCTAAAATTCGTGCGAGAATGAACCAAGGTTGTGGCTGTATCCTTGATGGTGAGCTTGGGGCCTGGGCAGCCTTCTCTCTGCTGAGTCCTTTGGTCAAATGTCCTGGTGGTCTGAACCAGCACTGCAGATGGAAGTATAATGTAAGTCATACACGTACTTCTTTAAAAAGATTTGTTCTTCAGTGTCTATTAAACAAGCAGATAAATGAAGGTAAAGGGAAAAAATGGCAACTTTAGCTTTTTTCCCCGTGTATATAATTTTAAATTTTCTCATAGCCCCATTAAAAAAAAGAGACATAAGTGAAGTTAATTTTAATAATACATGTTAGCCCAGTTTATCACAAATGTTCCATCAGCTTGTAATTAATATAACGAATCATGAGTGAGATATTTTGTATTTTTTTTTTTTTTGTGCTCTATCTTTGACATCTGATGTGTATTTTCTGCTTACACATATCTCAGTTTGGATACTAACTTCATCGGAAGTACTTGATTTGGCCAGTGGCTCATGCCTGTAATCCCAGCACTTCGGGAGTCTGAGGCGGGTGGATCACTTGAGGTCAGGAGTTCAAGATCAGCCTGGCCAATATGGTGAAACCCTGTCTCCAATAAAAATGCAAAAATTAGTGAGGCATGGTGGTGGGTACCTGTAATCCTACTTGGGGGAGGCTGAGGCAGGAGAATCGCTTAAACCCAGAGGTGGAGGTTGCAGTGAGCTGAGATGGTGCCATTGCACTCCAGCGTGGGCCACAGAACAAGACCCTGTCAAAAAAAAAAAAAAAAAAGTACTTGATTTGTGTTTAGATTTCACAAAATTTATAGTTGAGAAAGTAGGTTACATATTTAAGTTTTCTGATAACTGAGTCTTGCATCAAAAGTCATTTCCTTTACAGTTCACCTCCCACATTGACAAAACTGGTTCATTTGTTTTAGAAGAATTGATTTGACTTTGAAGCAAAAGCGTATCCATTTCAAAACGTCAATCTAAATTAAGTGAACTTGTGATTAATATAACACGTTCACTTTTGTGTCACTTTTGTGTCACTGTCATTCTGGTGCTGACAGCACTGAGGTCAGAGGGTCTAGCACACACTGAACAGAGAGCTCCAAGTGTGGTGGGATCAACAGAGCTTTCCTCAATATTTTTTTCTCGTTGTGTTTTTCAGGAGAAGTTTTTTGTTTGTTTGTTCGTTTGTTTTGAGACAGAGTCTTGCTCTGTCGCTCAGGTTGGAGTGGAGTGGTGCGATCTCGGCTCACTACAACCTCCGCCTCCCAGGTTCAAGTGATTCTTCTGCCTCAGCCTCCCGAGCAGCTGGGATTACAGGTGCCCACCACCACGCCTGGCTAATTTTTGTATTTTTAGTAGAGACGGGGTTTCACTATGTTAGCCAGGCTGGTCTCAAGTGACCTCAAGTGATCCGCCCACCTCGGCCTCCCAAAGGGCTGGGATTACAGGCACGAGCCACGGCGTCCGGCCCAGGAGGAGTATTTTACACTGCTTCAGTTTTTTAATTTAAATGAATTAAAATGAAATGAAAAGTTGGCCTCCCCAGGTGCACTAACCCTGTAGCAGGGTCGTCACTGGCCGCACGTGCTGGTCTACACTGGGCGAGGAAGATTTGTATCACATCCCAGTGGCACCCTGTTGACTTTCCATTAATCCTGTTTGTCCGCCTTGTGACAGCCCTGCAGCCGGTTGTGAAAGAAAATAGACTCTCAGGACCAAAAGTCACTATGCCAGAGGGAAGGTTCGGCCTGGGAACTGTGTGATACTGCCTTCCTTTCCTTCCCAGACAGACAGCTGCAATGTCACACCCCTGTGTTACAGCCTCATCCGTAAGCCAGGATCCCACAACCACAGAAGGCCACACATCTCCCCAGATGGCCTCCCTCCCAAAGCGCTCACCTGGAAATTCCTTGTGAGCAGCTAGATCTTTCAGGCTATATCCACCCCCTCTAAACTAGCCCTGAAACAAGTTTTTTGGATCTCACCCTGACGATGTCAATTACCAGCTGATCCTCACAGAGAGGACAAAGACCAGAAATCATCCCTGAGACAAATGCATAATTGACTTTTCCTCTGCTTGCTTTCTGACGTGTAAAATGTAGATTTACTGAGACTCAGAGCCTCACAAGAATGCGAGCGTCTGCCTCACTGTCTCCCTCCCCCGTCTTTTCCCTCCTGCTTGCCCTTGCCTTTTTAAATATTGCCGTTCCCCAAACCCCCTTTGGAAAAAGCACAGCTCACGGATGTGTCTGTGGCTTGTGGTGGTTTTCGTGGGTGTGTTCTCAACCTTGGCAAAATAAACCTCTATGGATTGACAGCTGCCTTGGTCGCTTTTTGGTTAACATGGTCTTTCTCAATTACAGCAGATAATTTATTTACTTGGCAAACTGCTCAAGCCTAGATCTGTGCCTACACTTAGCCCCTCTTCATGTCCACAGACACCAAAAAGGCCATTTGTTTTTCCCTCCCATTCAGGCCTAGGCCCTGCAGGCAGCTCCCTCTATCAGGTGAGACCTTAGTTCTCCTTGGGTTCCACACTGGGGCTGTTTTCATCCCAGTGCCTGGCCAGCGTGGGTAAAGTCTTGTCAGTCCTAGGGCGCCAGCAACCTGCAAACTCAGTGCATTCGTGTTCTGGAAGACCAAGCAAGAAGGATGCCTGCAGCCTCAGGATCACACCCACCCTTCTTCTGTAAAAAGGCAGCCAGTCTCCACGGGGCTGGCCCCTCTGAGTCCCAGGGTGGGGGTGTGCTTTTCAGGCCTTTAGGTGAGAGCAGCAGAAGTTATCAATGTTATTTGCATTTTAGAAAGATTAAAGTTGGGCCCTTCTGGAGAGGGAAGGAGCACAGCAGCAGGAAGCAGAGATGTGAGCCTGACTGATATGGTTTCGCTTTGTCTCCACTCAAATTTCATCTTGAATTGTAGTTCCCATAATCCCCACGTGTTATGGGAGGGACCTGGTGGGAGGTCATTGTATCATGGGGGCGGTTACCTTCCTTCTGTTCTCATGCAAGTGAGTGAGTTCTCACGAGATCTGATGGTTTTATAAGGGGCTTTTCCCCAACTTCATTCTGCAGTTCTCCTTGCTGCCGCCATGTGAAGAAGGATATGCCTGCTTCCCTTTCCACCATGATTGTAAGTTTCCTGAGGCCTCCTCAGCCATGCTGAACTGTGAGTCAATTAAACTTCTTTTCTTTGTAAAACATACCCAGTGTGTTTTACTAGACATACCCAGTCTCGGATATGTCTTTAGTAGCAGCGTGACAACAGAATAATACGTTGACCGAGGCAGCAGAGTGGAGAGTTGCTGAGAGATGCAGCTGCTTTTACTGCAGAGACTGAGAAGACACCAAGAAGCAAGATCCTGAGGCTGGCTTAGAGATGATTATCCAGCAGGAATCCTGAAGAGAAGCGGGCTGTGAGGAAAGAGAATTTAATTTTGGTTCAGCCTCGAGTATCAGTTGAGTTTTCTTGGGCTATAAACAACAGAAAACCCGACTGACAGTGGCTAAGAGAGTAACATTTAAGTGTCTCTCCCACAGTCCTCCAGAGATCCAAGGTGGTTTGGGGGTTTCCTGGTGTCAGGACCTGGGGTTGGTGCCTGCATTCTC